AATGGATATCATTTTCGGATTCAGCGTACAGGAATTACTGTGGAACATATAAAAATTTCAAGACAATAAAATCATCACAGCCTTTTTTAATTCAACAAAATTTGGTATGCTATCCCTTCCATGTCACCATATGCTAATGATATAACCAAACTTCTGTATAAACTTACTTTCAAAAAGTTTTCTTCCAAAATGGTCATGCGAAGGCCACTAATTAGAGGGAAAAGGAAAGATTCCATAGCTAAGGCACTGTTTTGTTTATAAAACTGACTATCACATGCAAACTAGGAGTTATTATTTACACAGCATTCTGTTAGGTGAATTCGGTAATCTGTATCATTAAAATAGAGATTGGCTTGTTCTAGTTTAGATTCTAAACAAAGTAGAGTTTGTTCAATAGGTTTTGAAAAAGGGATATGTTAAAAGACACTAAAATATCTTCCTGATATGACTCAAAGTTTTTAATTCTTTTACAAAATGTATAAAGATTTCAAGAGAAAAAAAGAAGATTTTCTAATAAAGAGTTCAATCTCTTAGCTACAAATTTAATGACAGGTTATACCACTGAGTTTATGCTAGACACAATAGGTCTATAAGGAATGTTATCTTTGTGAACCTTAAGAATATAATAATAATGGGTGGGGTATAAATGATAATGAGTGAATATAATAGAAACATTTGGGCTCGTAGTTAGAATAGGACTTTCTTCAAGAAGTTTTTTAATGTTGAAAAGAACATTAAAGGTAGGGTCTCCTTTGAGTAAACTGTATGATCCATTATTTAGTAGAGCACTGACCTCTTCTTAATATGTTTTATTAACAATTATAGTACAACCACCTTTTGTGTGCTCTCATTATAAAAATATTATTATTAGAATATATTTCCTTTAAAGCATCTACTTATTTGTCATTTTAAATCTTTGATTTATAAGTTAAAAGGCAAGAATGTACATTGATTCATATTTTTTCTGCTTCACTAAGATTCAAGTTAAAATTGTTAATGTAAGATTCACTAGCAGCAACTATTTGTTCTGTTGCTACAGATCTGGGTTTAATAACAAAATTTAAGTCCAAGTTTAAAAATATACATCTCATCATCACTTAATTAAAGTTTATTGAATTCTTAAATAACAGGACACCAAGTGTCATAATTTTCATTTATGATTTATAATATGAAAGTTGTCTCCCATTTTTAGAAGTCAATGTAAAAGTTTTCTTGAACTTGTGTTACTTCAAAAAATTGTATAGCTAATTTTTTTGTCATGGAATGTGCATCGTCAATTTGTAACAGACATCACTTTAGAATCACAAAACAGTAAATGAAGAATTATTGATAAAATTAGAAAGCTTGAATAACAATAATTTTTACACTTATAAAAAACATAACATACATGAACTTTAAATCAAGATTTAACATTATGTAACAAAATGATAATAGATACATTATAATTCATGATGTTAGGAAAACAAGTAGGTTTCAAAACCTTAGCACTTTTAAAACGTTGACCTTTTTCATCAGGGGCAAACTGGGAGTGATTAACTTGAGTAGAGTGAGAGAAAAGTTGGAGTGACATCATAATAAGCTCCCGTTTTAACCATGATACAGCATGATGGCATTCAGTTAATGTGATTAAGCAATTTGCCTTATATGATTTTCATTTCTGCACTTTTTACAATTCAATTAACACATGATGCTAGATGTATAGGCATAAAGCACAATGTAACCACTATATGATAGTTGTCATTTTTTTATCAGTATTTACTGGTCACAGTGAGAATATTACCACATTGTTGAGTTTAAGCATTGTTAATATATACATAATCAGAACTAAAAAAAACAACTTATTTACAGGTGGACTAAGTACTGTATAAAGGCATCATTAATGTGAGTTTCAATATATCATGTCTTAAGCTTGTAGTTTATGAACACACCCTCTAGCGTTATGAACATACTAAAACAAAATATCAAAACTCAAGGTTTTGTCTGGAATCAAGAAATAAAGATTATGATACAGGAAAGAAACAATAACAAATTATTTATGGAAATGTGAAAAATGTAGTTTAACAATTAAAATTCATATACGTAATGTCTGTAAAAACTATAGGTTATTAATTAAATTTCAAAATAAATGTTCTTAATGGTAGTATTCTTTTTTAATTACTTTACAGTAATTGGCTTTTCAATATATAAAAAACTGGGTTGTTTTGGTGTCTTTTAGCATTGGGAATGAGGTAGAATTCAATACCTAAAAGGTCCACATAACACTCTTATTCTTTTTTTACCTCTTTCACACTGTCAAAAACTGGAACTCCTAGATGCTTTTTTCCTCCTTTTCCTGGGGAAACTCCTGCAACCAGTTGGGTTCCATATTCTAAAGCTTGCTGACTGTGAAAAGTACCCTACAATGAGTAGTAAAATTCAAAGTAATGATTTTGTGACAGAAAGTTAAGTACAGTAATATGTTATGCTTCAGCTTCAATGTTTAGCTGCATCTTTTCACATACCTTCAGATGTTCTGATTGAGAGTACATTTTGAAATAAAAGTTAACTCCTATCAAATGCAAATGTATGTCAATGATTTGTATCATTAAAAACATTTTTAAATGTGAAACAAATTTTAGTTTTGTTATAAAAATTATCAATTATCATGTCTATAAAAATATAAATGAAATTTTTAACAGGTCGCAAAATATTTTAAATGACTGTAAAACAAGTTACCATAACAACACATTTCACAGAATGTGGACAATAAACAAAAATAATTTTGTCTAAAATTTTGTGCTTAAAAAAATTTGTTAAACAAAATCCAAGGAAACTAATTTGACTTTTCTTACATCAGTTAAAACACTGGCATTAGGAATTGTGAAAAAGTAAAGAATCAGTTTTCAAATCTAAATATAGGCCTATTACTCAGCAAAAGTATTCTTCCCTTATGTGAGAATTTTTAATAAAAATTTACCAAATAAAGTGGTATTTACTGATAATACATATTTCTTTAAAGCTTTATGGATAAAATACAAACAAGAAACATTTCATCTTATTCTTCTGTGGTAGAGAAATGTGCTGAAGAACTGATTTATGACATTAAAGGACTAACTAGAATGCTCGTTAGTTCTTAAATTCTGTGTGTTTAACCCATATGTTACATTATAAACATTAAATTAAACAAGCATTACATTAATTTAGAATCAATTTAATACTGACTAAAACTAAACCTTAGAATTATTTTATGCCTGGTTACCTGCTGAATCTAAATCCTCATATATAGTATAAGGTAGAAAATACAAATCCTTCCATGCTCATGATAGCTCCTATCACTGGTTGTGAAAATATTTTAATCTAAGCTTTTGGTTTAAAATGAAATTTTAAACATACTTAACTAATACTTCTTGACACTGTATATAATAGCCAACTTCTAAAAACATCTAAGGGGAATTTTTACATGGCAGTTTTCATGCATGGTGAGTGAAATGTAAGTGATGTAAAATCTAATAAACAAAGATAGATAAATGTAAGGATCAATTGATTTATTACATATACCAATACTATCACCAGAAAAGTTAAACAAAAAAGACAAATAGCTACTTTTATCAATTTACAAATTACTTTTATAATCATTAGAAATAACTACTATTAACATCTGTAAACAATGTATTTATTGATTCTTTAGAATTCTTCTGCCCATTTCAAAGTAGTTTTATATTTGCTAATATCATTCCTTACAAATGTAACCATTTAAATCTTGTTTTTCACATGATTTTCCTTCTCTGTCAGTGGTTTTATAGCTACAGCTCTTCACCACTTTATCATATCACAGCATGTAGTCTGAACAATTACTAATGAAGCCAGTTTGAAAAAAGATAGAGCAACAGTTAAAAGCAATTGGTTATAAGATATTCTAATATATCTACATCAATAGAGAGTAAACAAAGTGGTTTGAGCAGTACTCTGTGATTCCTCAAGACAACGACTATCCAAAGCTCCTATAAGAGTGAACAAAGCATTTTAATGCAAGGTTTACAACACTCAGGGACAAAATACATTATTGGGAATTTTTGTATGACTTCTTCACACTTTTTTTCATTCCTCAGAATGTTTTTCTGTTAGATTATATCTGTATAAAGCTATAGAAATTTTTCAATGACAAGTCATCAAATAAATTTGGTTAGGTTTATCAAGTACGTTAAGTAAATGCAAATATTCTGATGACTTACAAATATGATAAAAGCATGACAAGTTTCTAGGATTGAAAATATCACCATTTTTAGTTCAATCTGGGATTTTGAGAAGAGGAAAATACAGGAATTTCCAAAAGAATTTGAGAAAGCTGGCAAGTGACTAATTTTAAGCTTTCCTTCCATTACTAATTGTATGTCATTTTGTGAAATCCTAATATATAATAAAATCATTTGTCCCTAACACACTTTGAGTCAAGCACCAATAGCACTCACACAGACCCGAACAAAGCCAAAATTCACTATGCCCTTTGGGTAGAGTAGATTATCACCAGAGCTGTATGAACATGTTAACAATTGTTTATTTTTGTTGTTTTTTCATAGGAGTAAGCATACATTATAAGTGTTATAAGCTATTTAATTTATTTTTAATAAACAGTACTTGTTTTAACTTTAGGCCTTCAATCCTACTTAAAAGTAACATTATTACTTACTGCAGAAGTGTAATTTAGGCCTACAGTGAGTTTATTCTTAACTTATATTGACAATTAGGCCTACTAGGACTTCATCTTTAAACTACAGTTAAGAATGTGAAAGAAATAGGGCTATGCCTAAAATAACAAAATGTACATTTCAATGAACTGAAATCATAGAGCTGTTTAGTAAAGATCTGTGTCCATGAAAAGCAACAATTTTTGGAGAAGAAAGCAGATATTTTATAACTATTAACCACTACCTATTTTATTCATAGTAGGTTCTTTTAGTTCTTCTTAATACAAAGTAAACAGTGAAATGACTGATAACAAATTTTCCCTGAATACACATACAAAACTTTTTAACAGAAAAAGAATTAACAGTTAAATGGAAAAAGAACACAGAATGTCAGATGCTATGGAGACAGAATTATCTTACAGCAAGGAGACAGCAGGAATCTTATTGAAAAGGAAACAAACATAAAACAACATTCATTAAAAAATATTGTATACAGAGACATTTAATAAAAGAATAATCAATGAACATGACTTAGAAACATACATTATACTTTATTAAAAAAAAACTTACGAGTGATGCGAGTTGGGGTGTCTTATATCTACTAAGAGATAAAGAAGGGGCATTTGGTTGAATGCACAACGTTCTTTTAACTAATGTGTAGTCTAGTGTGGAACTGAGCTATATGTCACATATTCTAGTCACATACAATAACAATTCTTATACAGACTCTTAACATGGCTTATAAAGCTTGAATGAGTCTTGAAAACAACTGGTTTCCACCAGGAAAGTAAAATACAAGAAAAAATTTACAGCGCCCAAAAACAATTCTAGACCCATAAGCACTAAGGTCCCATGACCTGTATGACTAGTGTAATAAGTGTGGTATGCAGGATTATTTTATATTTCATATTTACAAAAATGTTTCATTTTTCTGAAGTTCTAATGTGGACATTGTAAACCTAATAAATGTTATGCTTTAATTCAGCTCTAGGTGTTACTTTCTGTAGAAGGTTTGGTCAATGAGACTATCTACTCTTACTTGGGATAATTACATTGTATTCTATCATGCCTTATATGTATGTGGCTCCTTCATGCCTGTCATGTGGAGCAGAAATGCCCCTGTAAACTTATGTTCCAATTTTGTGATTAGTCAGCTAAGAAAAAATGTGGATTATTAAAGTAGTTTTGGAACTTTTAGACACATTCCTTTCTGCCAGTGAAGAAGCCAGGAAGTGTAGTAAAATTTGGTTCACTGTCTTTGCTTCTGAAGCATTTAGCCAGTTGATCATATGTGTTTATATTATTAATAATACCACCAACTAGTATTCACTTGCTTTAATGTACAGTTTATTTGCATATTCTTATTAAATACAATTTGTTTTTGATTTTATTTCACATGGTTTGTTAATTACTGTTATTTTTAACAACCATGATTTTGTGCTGTGTATGGGTAATTAACCTTGAAGGTCAATGTGTGTGTGGATCAAGAGCTTAGAAAGATAAGTGGAATGTGAATAATTAAAAACACTTAGTTGTGAATCAACTTCCTAGAAAAGAAAGATGTGTGTAAATGCAACATAACAGGTTAGCTCTTGGACACATGCTAGATACAATTTCACTCATATTAAAAATAATCAGATGTAATATGAAACAATATTTCTTACCTACTAAAAATATATATATACACACAAAATAATAATATTCAAAACCTGTGACATATTTAAAATGTATTATTAATTTCAACAAAAGCTAAAGTCTCTAGAGATGCGAATCCAAAATAACATATTATGCTTGGACAATTGATTAAATGTTCAAATGTGGATATACCCTTATACACTTCCTATTAATAAAGGATGATCTTATTGAACTCATGAATTTAATTAACAAGACTTCAAGAGTTACACCACAAAATGGCATGCAGAAAGAAACAGGTGAAAGATTTAGAACAATAATACATCCATTAGTAGGATTTCTATCTATCCAAAGGTACAGCTTTATATTAATACAGAGATCTAAGGTGTCAATTATAAGAAATTACTTTTCTGGACCAACAATCTGTCTGACTGACACAAAACTTATTCAACTATGATATGTGTACAAATTAGCAATCCCTTACCTGAAAATGCATTTCTGGTAGATACTCACCTCTTGATACAGTTAAGCTATCTTCCCTCTGGATCTGCCTTAGAAATTTGTATGCCACTAGCCTTGAGGCAATTCCCACCTAATCTAAAATGGTCTAACACATGCCTCAACAAATCCTGGGCACCAATTAGCCATGGTGAATAAAAATTTTATCATGGCACTCGATATTTTCTCCCATTTTATTCGTGCATGGGGCTGTGTTAAATAGAACTTAAATCTAGAACAGTTCTGGACTCTTGGAAGTCCAGAACTATTTTTGCATTTTTTGAGTCCTAAGTCAAACTTTGTTTCTAGGATTTTAATGGTGGATTCAGCACTTCATGTTTTTTCAGGAATGAAGTGCTGTGGCTGCACAACATATCACTAATTGTGTACCATTTTGTTTTTTCTTCTTTCTCTCAATTCAACCAATCAGTGTGTGTGTTTAGATTCCGACGGGACCAAAGGCAGTTAGTTCAGGCAATACTATCAAGTGGTTGTTGATATCATATGATCATTAATATGCACTTGTTGCTGTGAAAATAAATACACTGGTGCCTCAATTATCCATGCTGGTCCAGGGAAAGCAAAAAATTGCAGATAACAAAAACAACAAATAATCGAGGCACTAGTTATATTGAAAAATTTGATTTAGATTAAACAGTGGCCTAACTAGTGAGATACTTTAAGTTCCTTGTTTTAAATTATAATCTTTTTACTGTCATTTAATCACATTATCATGAAAAATTATAAAAGTCATCATAATCATAAAAACCAAGTGAAGGTTGGTCAGTCAGTAGAACATGCTCTGAATTTCATGTTACACAAGTCCAATTCCACTCTTACTTCTATAATACTTCCTCTTTTGATTGCCCATTCCTGTTTTAGTTGAATTTAATCAACAACATAGGTGTAAGTAGCTCCTAAATTTCAGCACTTTTTCTGCTATAGACACACAAGTGTATTCGCACCCTATCAATACCTGTCAAAAATAAGTAAAACATTAGTGCAAATCTATGCTTGGAAATTATTATGAAAAGCTTTTGTTAAAACAGACTGAAGATACCAATTATCTGTAGGGAAGACGAAAATATGTAACTGGGCAATGCTCCAACACAACCTGAATATGCATTTGTGGTTAAAGGATGCCCACCATGCAGCATAGAACAACAGACAACAACTGAAGTTGAGTGAAATCTTTAAGAAATCCTAATATGTATTTGTACATACTATGTTTTTAATCACTAATCAAATAAAGTTAACCAAGCTACATATATTTTGTATTCCTATCTTAACAGCTAAAAAAAAGAGGCAAGGCAAGATCCTACACGTGAAAACCTCAGATATCATGCAATACCTGAACTTTTACTACCAAAATTATTTTCTGAGCAACAGTTTCTCCAAAACAGGTAAATTATTGTCTAGAATTGTAATGACACAATTATTTAGAGAAAATTTGGAATAAGAAAAAAACGTGGATAATCGAGGATCACAGATAACACAGGTGCAGATAATTGAGGCATTAGTGATCCCCATTTCCGGGTACAAACAGTAGTGAAGTTGGGTTAAGCACACCTGACTCCTAGAGCTGAAAATAATTGTCAAGGCCTGGTCTAACATGAATTGTGCTACTGCAGGATGACATAATTATACTGCAAAGCCCTCTACCAACAGAAGGGCAACACACCTCCATGTGACGAACTTCCTCGGTGCATATGCAATTGTGAATCTTCATTCTTTGACAAGGCCATGAATACAAAGGTGCACAGAAAATGGGAAGGATGGGTGGAAATGTGTGTGCATAGGTAGCTATTGGAAATATATTTTAGATAAGGAAAATGTTAACTTCTGAGATGATACCACACCTCTTCATACAGCTAAGCATTCTACAGAATCTGAAGCTGAAATGGTGGAGGGACTGGTGCAAAGGTTTACCAAGGTGAGGTATCTTCAGAAAGCACCTGAAGAAAGCCCATGGAGTGTAACACCCCATGGAAGGGGCGCCACAGAGGCATTTCCATCTCAAACAAGCCCGACATGTCTCAAGGATGGGCAGAAAGAGGTCAGAGAGCCAATATGTGTACCTTGTGTGCTGAGCTCAACTCTACTGTTAGACTTTATTAGATTGACACGAGCTATGGGATTAGGACACAGTAGACATGCCATAGAGAATAGTATAGTGTGTGCAACTCAACTGAACAGATATCAGCTGCAGGGGGAGGGCACGAGTTGTTAGTGCATGCTTACCTCAACTAAACAGGTGATGTCCGCAGGAGGAGGGCACGTGTATAGCGTGTGCTCACCTCAATTCTACTAAACAGCCACAACCACAGGACGAGCACCCAGGATAATGGTGCATGCTCACACAACTCCACTGGACAGTCGTAAGCTGCAGGAAGAGGGTAAAGTATTGTATTATGTGCTTGCCTCAACTCTACTGAACAAACTTTGGTTCCAGGATGAAAGCACAGCATTATGGTGTGTGCTCACCTCAACTCAAATAAAGAGACTCAGGCTGCAGGAGGAGGGCATAAGAGGCATGTGGTATAGTTAGATGAGTGGTGACCTGTGCTATACAGGCAGTGTCACCACTGTCCCACTTCCCATCATATTAGTACTCAATTTTATATCACCCCTGCCTACAACTCCAATAGGTGAGGGCTCTCCATATTTCACCACCCAAGCAGCCAGGAACTGGTAAGTAGTGAGGGTCTCCAATACTCTATTCGATGAGGAAGAACGGGGAGGGAGGAACCCAGATCTCCCCCTTGTCCTTCCGTGCAGAAAGGTCTTTTACTGTAAACAATGCATTGGGTGACTGTGTAACCATATTCTAAAAAGCCAGCAAGTGTGTGCCAGGGAAGTAGGCAGAACATCCCTTGGTGCTGGCTTTTTCCATGACAGTCCATGGAATAGGTATGGTCTGGATCTGACAAAAGTCAGATATATAGTTATACCACAAGATTACCTCAAGTGACCTTGTAGAACACCCCATTTCACAGTGGGCATATATGGAGCCAGGGCTGTTGGTATGAGCACTTTCTGTTATCCTGGCTTGATGCAGATTTTGGCAAATATATATATACCCTGAGAGGCACCACCAGCCACCTAGCAGGACACTATGAATGCAAAAGGGGCTCTAAAAGAGAAATAGATACAAAAATGTTGATTGCAGAACTCAAAAAACTATCAGGAGATAAAACAACTAGAAGATGTAGAGGAGACATATGTGTGTGTAGAAAATCCATACCTGAAGGAGCTCAGCCACAGGTCAGCAAAGAAGTGATGTAAGAGAAGAAGAAAGGCAACATACTGACTTCAGAGAAATGTAAGTCAGTGAGTATCCCCAACTCGAGACAAACATGTCAATGAAAGAAAGCAATAAGGGGAGAAGGAAAGTGGTTTGTGGAAAAAAGGAGGTCCATGAATAGACACACTTGAACAGACCAACATGTCATGGGAACTATCCATATCTGAGTGGTCCAACAGACAGAAGGAAGGGAGGTAGGAAAGAAGTACAGGCAACCTGAGCAGTTAAAGAGTAGGTGATAAGGTGAGAAATAAAAATAATAATAAAGAAAACAAGCAAAGAATAATGAAAGGAAAAACCTAAGAAGAAAATCCTGAAATAGATTGATAGATTAAGATCATTTCATAAATGGTAAAGTACTACCCAAAGCAAATCAGGTGAAAGAGATAGTCCAATAGATTATTCCTGACTGTAGAGAAAGAAATTTGGGCAACAGGATAGGATTAGGAGGTGCAATAAACATGTGGTGATTCACAACACATTGAACAATGGCTGCAATGGTCCTGACAGTTAACAAGCCTCCAAAAGCCACTTACAAAATAAAGCCTATGTGAGAAACACTAAGGACCAAATATAAATCACCTTCTGTTGAGAATTCACAATAAAAATTCAAGCTTTTGAAACAATAGCCAAATAAAAAAAAAATTCAAAGTTACATTAATGTGGCAAATCTAATGAAATTGAACAGACTGAAAAAAATTATAAACATGTCTGGTCAATACATTGCTGAGGAGAAGAATGAAGATTCACAAGTGCATAGAGGGAGTTGGTATGCATGGACATGTGTTGCCCTCCTATTGGTGGAGGAGAGCTTTATCACATAATTATGTCATCATAATTCTCGGTGAGAATTGCCTCAATGCATATCTCTAAGGCAGATACATGGGGAAGATAGCTTGACTGTGTAAAGAGGTGTGATATCATTTTGTAAAGTAAAAGATTAATAACAATAACCTATATAAAAAGATTCAGTGTCTGTGAGTGTGTATGTCACATGCTGGCCACACTGACTTCTAAGTGGTATCATACAACTTGTTTCAGTCCCAAAATTTCCACAAAGGTAAAATTTTTCACCCCACACTTTGGGGAACCTGGGGATTTCCAGAAAAACCTTCTCCTAAACCACTGAACACAAAAACTTTTAAATGATACCAAACGAATCATTACAGCCCCCTGGCCTGCACAAACGTAAAACTTTTCACCCAACCCCTTAGAAAACCCAGGTATTTCATAAGAACACTTTTACAGGCATTTCCCAAGAGTGAACCTCAAATATGGCATTGATTTACATTAGAGCATGTAAATAAGTTGGCTTACAAATTAACATTCATAACTTGGTTAAAGAAATTAAACTTTATTATATAAACATTATAGTGGCAATGATCATTAAACTGAAAAAGTGCAAAATGGTAGTTCAAGCATTAAATGTGCATTATAGCAGTCCTGTAAATGTAGACAATAGGCCCACGGGTTTACTAGTATGAATATAATAAGCAATAATGACGGTAAACATATAAAGATATGATACTTTTTTAATTCATAATTTTGTGAATTGCAACTATAAATAATATAATATAAACAATAACAGTTTTGAAAATTATTATCTGATATTTGTAGTCCATACGTATACATTACCTGTTTTCCTGTAAACCCTTGACAAATAACTTTGGTGTCTTGTTTAATCATCAAATTACTGCGGGTCATCGTATAACAACTTCGAACTCCCAAGTGTCTAACTAATAATTTAAAACAAATCATTATTATTTAAACATGTACATGTATTTGGACACATGCACACACAACACAATTAATATTTATTCCAATGGTTTCCTAAATAATAAATATAATAAATCATGAATAGTAGCAAATATAAATCTTTACACTGGGTCGAAGTCATATGTATTAACAATAAAAGAACATACATGATTTCTGGCTTTTCCTTAAATTTAGAGTATTTAAGAAAACTGTGACTCAAGTTCAGTTAATTTCACATACAATAAACATGCATTAAATATGAAAGTACCTGATTATTTTCAGTTGTCTAAAATATTAAATACGAGCTAATAGCAAATATTATTGTCATAGGAGCAAAAACAATTTAATAGAAGGGGTAGAATTAGCCTTATGAATTAAAAGCTACTGATTCGGTAGCTAAAAACCATTATAAAGAATGCATATTGAACCTATTAATAATAAAACATTGCTAAATTTTATTATTGTCTACACATAACAAATTAGCTTAAATGATGTATATATAAGTGGATATACATATGTACATATTGATCAGTAGTAACATATCACATTACCTTGCACAATATTTTTTAACAACCTTTAAAATATTGTATTGTTTTATAATACAGATATCTTGACCATGTATGTGATTAGTGAAATTATGCATTCGCTTTTAGAAATTCATTAAGTTACCTTTTAAAATTCAGAAAGTTACTGTTTCAATCATAATCAGTATTTAAGTCTAGTTGATAAATGTGAAGTGATAACCTAGTTTCTATTCAAAGTGTACTGTTAAACAATTTCACACTATAAAAAACTCCCATGCAGTTTTAGTTTCTGCTAGAAAAATTTCATAGTGATTTTCAAACTTTTTTGCCAGGTAACACAAAATATAACTATTTCAAACTGAATAATTCACAAACATACTTGTGTATTATATAAAGTGTAAAATAAATTAAGTTTAACTATATAACACACTTTATAGCATAATGTTCTAATGTTTACACTGATTTGGGGTATTAAACTTATTAACTCTTGAATTAAAAAACAACAGAATTTTAGATGGTAAACTTCTCTACCAATGAATCTACAAGTACAAAGTAATAAAACTAAAAGTAAACAAAGGGTAAATCTAATAAACAGTGGAAATTCACCAAGTGAATTTCTACTGTGAAATATCATTATAAATCAATATAATTCTTGTATCTAATACTGTTATTACATAAACTAATTCAAAATTCAATCTATAGATCTGCTTATATTAATCTGAATCATTTAAGTGGCAAAAAATGAATAAAAATACATTTAAGGTATATTGGTTTAACCAAGAGCAGAAGACTTTGGGCTACTATACATGCTTGGAAAACACATTTCTACCTCTTGAATATCTCCAAATCTCTAAAACTACTTGATTTACTAGGATGTACTTGATGTTATAAAAAAACAATAAGTATTTATAGTGAAAGGACCAAGTCAACAAAAATCATGTTTTACTAATGTAGTCTCATTTATTTGCAACAAGACATTAAGATATTAGATTATAAGATAGTAATAAGTCGGTGACATGAAATATTAGCTTGGAAAGAGTTTACTGAAAAACATCAAGCTATTTGACATATTTAGGAATATGAAATTGTAGCATACCTAAGTATCAAGTATGATGACAAAAGAGATCCATCATATTGATCATGGGTCCTACAGAGTTTAGCAGTGATGAGAAGTGAGTATATTTATTGAACTTTATGACTTTACTTACTTTTTGTTTAAAATAAACTTTTCTACACCTGAGTTTTTTTTTGTTTTTTTAACTTATTGGCTTTTTTGTATTAGCCCCAATTCCATAGGCCTTCCCAGCTTAGGTAAGATTTACAAGATACAGGTACAATAGCATACAGGAAACATAAAAATATATTTTTTCATATTATATTAATAACAGACTGTAAGACCAATAGGCTGTTAATTTTTTTATTGATGTTTCTTGATGGTATATAGTAGGATCAGAATATAATTATTGAACTTTGGTCTACTAGTGTCATATCCCTAAATGTTTTTAATATTTTAATGTTCTCCAGTAAATCATATTGTTTTAAAGCTACTGCTCTCTAATGTTGCTCATTTTTTGGCACAAATTAAAACGAGTAACTTTATGTTTCTTGTCGCTAATTGATAAGACCCTTTCTTGTTTCTGAGACTATTCATGTTTTTGATTCACCAATAAAAAATTCAAAAAATTACCGAGTTAGCAATTATAATTTTTGGTTTAATAATTATTTATTTCATTACCACTTACAGTTACATAGTTCTCTAAGTCTAAGTGTCTAAAGTTTGACCAAAGAATGTGAAATTCCCTGTACGTTTAGAAATTAAAATGAGAAAATACACCACAAGTTTCGTTGCATAAAAATTCAGACCTCACACTTAGCCCAACTTGCTTAAAATTAGTTGAAAAGTCTTGAGTTCAGACAAGCTGAGTAGCTTTGAACTTGAAGTGAAATTCAATACGATAGTCTATATACTATAGTTGAACGCCAGAAAACGATAAAGATTGCTGTTTTGCAGTGTATGAAATACGTTTATCTCTTCAGAGTGTAATGCTGGACACTTACTTGTATATAAAGTGAACTAAGAATTAAGCTTTCTTCCACATGGTTAATATTTAATTATAAAAAAAAAATACCTGGAGCTTGTCTTGCTAAATTCTTCAATACAATCGCCATGATGCCCGTATATTATAAAGGATTACCGGTAGAGGACAAGTAAAAAAATATTATGAACTGTACATATATAATAGTAAATACTGTTACAATATTATAAAAAAAAAACTGAATAAAGATAGGGCAAAGCTCTCTTATAAAGAAACTTTAAAAGAGAAAAAAACATTTTGAAGATCTTGAAATTCAAAACATGTATACAAAATAAAGAATCAAGTTATGATTCTTTGATAGATTAATTAAAAGATAAAGTAGATTCTAGATAAATGGTCATATTAATTTATTCTAATGCAGTGATGTAAAACGTCTAAGTTATCGAACTATTAAGGCTTTTTTTTTAACAAAAGTCTGCCCCCAGTGGCACAGCGGTATGTCTGCGGACTTACAACGCTAGAAACCGGGTTTCGATACCCGTGGTGGGCAGAGCACAGATAGCCCTTGTGTATCTTTGTGCATAATTAAAAACAAAACAAAAACAAAAGTCTTAAAACCACACTTGACTGTAAACTTTTTTGGTTCATATTCCTATGAAATTAGTTATTTACGTATTCATTATGAGAGTTATGAAAAATAACATTTTAATACCAAACTCATCAGGTGGGTTGGATTTATGACAGGCAAAAGATATCTAAAATTGTGATATTTGGATTCAGTGGTATCCTCCATAAAGAAATCATGTATATTGTAATTAACAACTTCTATTGGTATTGAGAGAGAAGGCTTACAAAACACGTCCACAAGGACAATGGCAACATAAAGAATTACATCCTGAAACATGAAAATACCCCATTTTTATTTCACAAAAGGCAGACGATTATTGGAAGTTCAGGATACAACTGCGGTTACTCACGCGACAAAGTAAATGAATTATACACGGATACTATTGCAATGAATATAGAGAAAATAGTTTGGCTTTTCAACTGAATTCTAAAGCAACTGAATTGGCCTAAGTGGACTTTTGGCAACAAGAAAATAACTTTATAGTGTTTAAGATACAACTATGATCTCCACAGTCTAAAGAATTTTGTACATACATTTAACTTGTTTCGAATATTCTTATATATTATTTTAAAAACAAGTGGAGTGTGTGTATATTGTCGAACTTATTGCCAACAAGTCACAGACATCTACTGTAGAAGAATCCTTAGCAAAACACACACACACACACACACATATATATTTACATTATTATACATACTACTAAAAAGTAAGTTCCTGGCATATTCAAAGAAATATTGATGTTCACACTCATTTATTATTATTTTTTTAATATGTTGTTTTTAGACCCTCATTTTAAATGAGGAAGCAATAATAGGGACTTATGTTCAATGTTGTTTTTTTGTTGTTGTTGTTTTGCTATTACAGTTTAAGACTGTCAATCTACATTTGAAATTTTTTTAGAAGTAATAGTCTGCCCTAGTGATTCAACGTTAAGTTTGAGGGTTTATGATGCTGAAAATATAGTTTAGTTATGATGGGGGTGTGGAGCACAGAGAACCTATTATGTAGCTTTATGCATAACAATAAACGAATAAATCTTCCAAGAGCTTGATTAGTATATATCCAGACATAGAAAATAATAATAAGAAATTTTTTTGAAAATCTAGGGCTCCAACTGACGTAATCTTACAACTAGCATTTTGAACAAGAATATTATTGCGTCAGCGAGGTTACGTGACTAGTATCACGCCACGTCCTTCTAGAAATATCCTGTTCCTTCATGAATGCTCTAGCGTTTACTGGATATGTGTTACTCTAGTATATATAAGACGGTCACAAAGTGACGGGAACGATATGTGTGCAATTGAACTGTGGAGGTAATGAGTAAGAATTTTCTTGAGTTTCGTCGGAACCAATTTACGGAAAATTAACTAACGAACGAAGGCGTAACAAATTGGTGTCAGAAGGTGGGATAAAACAAAGAAAAAAAGAAGATGGAATCGAGAAGCGGCAAATCAAACTACAGCTTAGCAGATTTGATGGTAGCAATACAAGAACAGCAAAAGAAACAAGAAGAACGAGAAAATAAACAAGAAGAGAGACAACAGCAGTTGCAAGAAAACCTGCAACAGTGGCATCTAGAACAGCAAAATAAACAAGAGAGATTATAGAAGAATGAGAAAAGAAACAAGAAGAGAGATTACAGCAGTGGCAAGAAAACTTGCAACAGTGGCAGCTCGAACAGCAAAATAAACAAGAAAGATTACAGCAGTTACTGGAGAAAAAACAAAAGAAACAAAAAGAACAAGAAAATAAAAAAGAAAAGAAACAAGAAGAGAGACAGCAACAGTGGCATCTCGAACAACAAAATAAATAAAAAGAGAGATTACAACAGTTGTTGGAGGAAAAAGAAAAAAAAAACAAGAAGAGAGATTACAGCAGTTGTTGGAGGAAAAAGAAAAAAAA